CCGTCTCACAGAAGGTTCCACATTTTGTGGTGAACCACACATCCTATCCATTTAGAGTCCTCTTCTTTGGCCTTTCAGTGGCCCCTTGCCATTTACCAAATGCCGTTCCCGTATCTTGATGACTGGCTTATTAAGTATCACTCCACGGTGCAGGTGGAGGTTCATGTGAACCTGATACAGTTGACCTTTGACAAACTTGGCCTGTTGCTAAACATGCTGAAGTCAGTCCTAGCTTCTATACCTAGAAGATAGAGGTTATAGGAGCAGTTCTAGACTCCCCTGAAGCCTAGGAATTGCTACCAGAATCTTTCTTCCAAGCCATTTGCTCCATCATAGAGGCCTTCAGATAATTCTTCACCATGATGGCTTGGACTTACTTGAAGCTGCTCTGTCTAGGGGCATTCTTGGGTGTATGCAAACACACAGCTGCACCACTGTGACCCAAATTATGTAGTGTTCTATGCTGCATATGCCTAGTGCTGGTCGAGGGAAGTGTCAGCTCAAGCAGCCCCAGTCCCCCCCACCCCGAGAGTCAGCCAGTGTCCTCTCATGCTGGCTTCCCTGATCCTTTAATAATGCAGAGTGGCGGGGGGGGAAATGGGGGGTTTGTGGTGAAATCCAATGCAAGCCAGGAGTGAGTGCCAAAACTACCCTTCCTTATTGACTAATCAAGTAGTTGATGGAAATTCCATCGACTATTTGATTAGCCAATTAACTGGTACTTAACATCCCTATGCTAGAAGCATCTTACCTTCTGGGATCCCAGAACAAGCTGGTGGACCATATCAGCAGATCCTTTCACCACACTACCACAGTATCAATGATGGTCCATTTGTCCAGGCATCATGAACAGCATCTTACAACTGTGGGGAGTCCCCAGGTAAATCAGCTTGCACTGAAAGTCAACAGGTGACTGCAGTTTTTCTCTTTCCTGAACCACAGCCCAGGGTTTATTGGGTGACATTTTTGACAAACAAAGAACTCTCTGAAAAGTGCATTCTTCAGGGCACTACTTATGAATTTGGGTTGAATTTGGCAAACAGTTTCAGCCCCAAAAAGGGTTTTATTTAAACAACATTCTAAATAGTTCATTTCGAACATTTACATAGAAATATGTTGATGTTTCATTTTGAAATGTTTTGTTTTTGACCATTTCAAAAGATTGTTTCAATTTTTTGTTTCAAAACAGCATTTAAAGTACATATATAGCTAATGTTTAAAAACAAACAAGCAAAAAGGTGGAAAAATCTGAAACAACTCAAAACTAAATGAAAAAAACTAAACATTATTTAGGGGTTGAACAAAACATTTCATTCAACCCAAATGATTTGTTCTTTTTTTGCAAGAAAAAAATCAGTTTCAGTTCAAACTAAGCCAATTTTAAAATATATTTGTTTATTTTTCAGTTTGGCCCCCAAACTTAAAAAAATCTATTTGCTCACCTCTAAATAATTAAAGGCTATCTGGGCATGTAGGTGTAAGAGGAATAGCTATGACATTGCTCTGTTTACTCTGTGTAATATCCAAGCCCAGACTGTTTTTATATCAAATTAATAACACTGACCAATTTCAGTGAGTCATAATTCTTATCTTACATAGGTAAACATCATAGGAAATTAATCTTCTTGTTTTAATTTTGATGTTCTTCAATTTTCACAAATACAATGAATGTTTTGTTTCTGTTTGTGATTTCTAAGGGAAGAAATGGTGATTGGCAGGACATACAGGCAGTCCCCGGGTTACGTACAAGATAGGGACTGTAGGTTTGTTCTTAAGTTGAATTTGTATGTAAGTCGGAACTGGTACATACTGTAGGGGAAACTCTAGCCAAACATTTCTCCAGAGCTCAGTTTTATTCTCCCACACCTCACTTCCCTTAGTCCTTTATTCTCAAGCTGAGGTGTCTGCTGAGAAAAGCCGCTCCGCGTCTCCCTGGTCTGCTGGGGGAAAGCAGCTAGTGTGGGGTTGCCTCACCCCGTTTGTAAGTAGGGATCTGATGTAAGTCGGATCCATATAACCCGGGGACTGCCTGTATATTAACAGGGAGAGCTATTGGAGAACATGATGAAATTACAGCTATATGTGTGGGCTGAAAGACTGTATGTAGTATGATTTGAATATGTAGTTTGTGTGTGTAAGAATTGTATTGAATGAGAAACTGTGGTGATGACAGTTAAGGGTTTTAAAAATCTGTTAATTACTCCAAACTTACAGAGTTAATTCACAATCAAATCTTTTGAGGTTTCTGTAAGACTCAAGGCAAACAAAAAAGCTAGTTAACTGTAAAACCATTGTGTAAAATGGCATGTATTAAATTGTGTGTATTTTAATCACCAAATAATCTTTTAATTTTTACTTTAAATTTGAATATTTGCCAAAACTGTTCTGATCCAAACGTCCTTTCATTTAGCAAAACTGGAACCTAGGAATTACCCTACTGCAGTGGTCACCAACCAGTAGATCAGGATCTACTGGTAGATCTTGGAGCCTCTGACAGGTGATCTTGACTGGCTTGGCCAAGAAGCTGTCAAGAGCTGGCACTTCCCTGCTTCTGCCCTTTGCCTTGGAGCTGTTCCCCTCGGCCACCCTGTATTCTATCTCTACAGAAGGGGTGGGGGGCACAACAGGGTTTGGGAGGGAGGCAGTTTGCTGGCTGCTTTTGAGAGTGATGTAGGGCCAGAGCAGAGGTGATCCTGCCTTAGCCTGACTGCACCATCCCACAGGAGTCACCTATGGTAAGCTGTGTCCAGCTGGAGCCTGCATCCTGAATCCCTGCCCCAGTCATGAACCCCCTCCTGTACTCCAAGCTCCTGCCCTAGCCCTGAGCCCCGCAAAACCCAGAATCCCTTACAGAGCCTTATCCTGAACCACCTACTGCACCCCAACTCCTGACCTAGGCTCAGAGCCCCTCTCAAACTCCAAATCCCTTAGCCCAAAACCAAAGCCTGCACCCAATCCTCTGTCCCTGTCTGATGAAAGGGAGGAAATATGCGGGAGGGAGGAAGGATGGAGTGAGCAAGGGCAGGGCCTTGGAGAAGGGCACAAAGGATGTGGGGAAAAGGTATTTGGGTTTGAGGTAGATCCTGGATTGCACTTACATTCAAAAAGGGATCTCATACTTTAAAAGGTTGGAGACCACTGCCCTACTGGGTCAGGCCCAAGGTCCCCCTAGTCCAGTTTCTTGTTGCTGGTAATGGCCAGCTCCAGTTGCTTCATCAGAAGGTGCTTAAAATGCTGCAATAAATAGTCATGGAATAACCTGCCACAGAAGTGGACTTAACCCCTGAATCCTTTTATTTTTTTAATAATTATTGTTATATGCCGGATAGTCTTATTATCCATAAAAATATCCAATCCTTTTTAAAATTCTGCTAAGCTCTGGTGAAACTTATGATAGAGGTTTTCCACAACAGCTTTCTGTCTCAAGGTTATCTGTCCATTCAGAGCTATTGGTCCTGCCTTACTTTCTGCTTATTGTGATACATTCTCCTAAGAAGGGTAAAAATAATCTTTTGGCAGAGATGAAATAAAGAGGCAACATCTCCCCAAATGTTTAATTCTGTCCAGTACACTGGCAGTGTTCTGTTCTGGTTAATTGAGCATTCTGTGAGAAAAATATTTCCTTTTGTCAGTTTTGAATTGTCCATCTTCTAATTTCCCCATGTTTATATATTCTAGGTGTCCTAAGTGGGATATTCCAAAATTGAAGCACCAAAATTAGTGGACACTTTTACAAAACTTTATCCTTCAGGCCTGGTCTACACTAAAGGGTAGAGTTGACTTAAGATACATAACTCCAGCCATGTTAATTACATAGCTGGATTCAAACCATCTTAAATTGCATTTTGGCATCGTTCACATGCTCCTGGCAACTTCCCTTACTACTCATGGGGAGCAGGACTACTGGCATCAATAGATCAATGGGAGTGCCCTGTCAATTTGACTTAGTGGGTCTTCACTAGAGCTGTTAATTTGACCCCCGGAACACCGACAGCAACAGCAGCAACAATCTTCTCCGTAGTATGGATAAGTCCTCTGTGCTTAATTTTATTAATCTGTGAAATGGAGTTGAAGCCTAAACCATTAAGACAGCCTCAGATGGAAGTTACTATAGAGGTGAAAAGTATGATTATAATAAACTGTTTTTATTTCTCATGCAATCAGAAATTAAGCTGATGCAGATTTTTAAAAATGAATTTGCAGCCCAGCTGAATTTATGTAGAAGTTTCTAATGAACAGTATTTAATAAAATGTTAGTTTTAGCATCAACAGTAAACTGTGTTAACCATGTACAAAATTTTACATCACGGTAACTATTGGATGCCATCTCACTATGCATTTAACTTCAGATAGTGTTGCTAATTACAGCAAATGTTTTAACACTGAACAGAATGTGGTGAATCAGCATAACAAAGGCTCAGTGTTCTTGAATATGTCACATTACTTAAAGACACAGTAAATAATTCCTGCTATTTAAGCAAAGATATAATTTTGAATTAATCCTCAAACAAGTTTTGTACATTTCAACCCATGCAATGTGTGACATCATAATATACATCAGTACAAGCAATATTTAATTTAGATTGTAAACATATATTACTGCTACATTTAATCTACAAAGCAGTTTATATTTGTTAAAATGTAACATTTGTTTTATGTTGGGGGTGGATTACAGGACACCTTTCACTTGACAATGAACATACATTCACATTTTCAAAGAGAAGATTCAGACATTTAAGATAATCTGAGATTATTAGAATGAAATCCTGACTCTATGGAAGTCAATGGGAGTTCTGCTGTTTACTTCAGTGGAGCCAGAATTTCATTCACTGTGTAGAACGTGTATATATCTTGGGACTTTAGACAGGTTTGTGTTTTCTTTTTAGCTGAGACTTGCATTACACTGTATATAGTTTATATTGCATTTGTTCTTACATAACATTCAGTGAGTCCTTTGTTCTCAACAGGGTAGGGAACCTTTTCTGGATTTGCCTGCTGCTTTAAATTAGCTCTGAGTGCAATTATCGATGTCAGCTTTGCCCACCCATTTCAGACATCACCAATCTCCACCACTGTTAGAGACAGATTAAATTTCACATTTACTTGATCTGGTTTTACATACATTTAAGGATCAATTCCCTCATTCATTAACAATCTCTCAGACATTATAGTTTGAGACATTATAGTCTGATCATGTGTTTTAATTTAAATACATCTGGTGTAATAAATATAATAATTTTTAAAAAGGACATAGTAGATTAGCTTTGTGAATTTGTTGATGTTTCTCCTTGGTTTGCATTTTCTGTTTGCACCGAGTGATTCAAAAACTGTCCTGTAGCTCCAATATACAACCTGGATCGCATTGGCCATTTCTGAAAGATAGGATACAAACAAGGTGTCCAAAAAGCAAGTCTCTCTAAAATATGTATGATTTAGGAAATATAAATTAATACAAAACTTTAAATAGTAGTGAAGTCACAATAAATGATGCAAAAGTCCCTGGCAGAGGTGGGGAACCTTTGTTGGGTCAAGGGCTCCTGACCACAGAAAAAAATCAGCCAGGGGGCTGCACACAAGTGAGAAGCTTCACCCCCAAAATAGATAATGCCTCATTGACATGGCCTCTGATTGAGAAAGAGAAAGACACTCCACATTCCCCTTGCACACTAGAGCCTACAGGGGCCCAGGCTAGGGGAGTTTGTGTGGGTCAGTCCCGCAGTAGGTACAGGCTCCCCAATTCTGGGGGGGGAGGGCGGGAGACAGTACATGGGCATTGGGGGCCAAATCCAGAGAAGCAGAGAGCCACATCCAGTCCCCAAGGCCTGAGATTCCCCACCCCTGGACTATGGTTATCTCCAAACATGTTTGGTTTTCTTATAAGTGCTTAATAATTAACCAAATTATTGAAAACTGTATAATGAAATCTTACTATATTATAATATAGAGTGCAGTGGGAAGCCTCAGGCCCAGGGGCTGGATGCAGCCCCCAAGGCTCAGGGTTCCCCCCACCCCCGATTGGGGAGCCTGCACTGACACACTAGCTCCCCTGTTGCCCCATCACGGGGCTGGAAGCAGACAACATCTGCTAGGCTCTGGTGTGCAAGGGCAATGTGGAGAGTGTCTTGCTTCCGTTTGGGGCTGCATCAGTGAGAGAGATTCTGTTGGTTGGTTGGTTGCTTCTCACTTGTGTGCAGCCCCTGACTGATTTTTCTGTGGGTCAACAGCCCTCAACCCAAAAATGGTTCCTCACCCCTGATATAGAGCTATTAGCAGTCCCATGAGCAATGGGGGAAAAAAATCCATGGTAAATTGTATTCATGTGCAGAATGTAAACAAATATTGTAGCTAAATATAAGGTAAAAACAGAAAATTGCTGTGTACGGCAAAGAGAATTTCATTTTGAACTTGTAGTGACAGATCACTTACATGGTCATCCTAGTGCTTGGGCAGATTGCTACAATCTATGCAGAACCAAAATTACTTCAGTTTTCCTACATGCTATCAATTGCTGGATGAGGGCCTGAAAATAGACGACCTTGCAATGTCACTTAACTCACTATATCTGCCTGCTCCATACCAAAATCATATCTCATGATTTTTTATTCCTCTTGCAGATCCAGCAGTTCTATAAGAGGAAGCTGGAATATATTCCTTCTTGTACATTATCAGAAGAGTTTATTTATTTCTAATTACAAGATAATTTACACTATACAAATCCACTGATGGCACTGTGGCTCAACAATTGACATTATGTAGATGCAAATGAGAGCAGTATTTGAGATGCATAAGAAGAACTCAGCTTGACTTATGGCTTCTAGGTTGACTCTATAGGGCTGGGAATTAAACAACAATCCACCTTTTCTGTACATTTGATATAGAAAGAGATAAGACACTGTATATATGGTATCCCACAATGTTGTTTGTACAATTAAAGCTTTCAGAGTAGACCTATACCTTCAGTGTCATTCTCATGAGGTTGACTTCACTCAGGCATGGATTTTACCAACAGTTTATAATGGTACCACAACCCAACAAGAGAACTCAGGTTTAACTATGGAGTTCTTACCAGTGCTTCCATAATATTACTATATTAAGAGTGAAAAATAAGCATGGCTATATATAGGCATAGTTTCAATGAGAAGTTGTAGTGTGGGATCATACTGTAAGAGTAGCACTCTCATATCTTAATCACAACACTGAACATCAATTGTTGCGTGTATGGTACCACTACCAGTATGTTCTGTTTTTGTAATATCAGACATACAAATTGAGATTTCAAAGCAATGGTGGACATTTGACCATTAATCTTTCAATTTTAAAATTAGTCTGTATTTTCATCTTCAAAGCTGAGTTACCACTGTCAGTTATACAGTTCTTATATTTCTATTTTATTATAAAAGTTAGCAGTTGATATTTCAGAGCAGTTCAAGAGATTTAGATACATGTTGTTGGAATATTTATTTATAACCCCTTTATGGCTCGTTATTTATTTATAGCCACTTTAACATTGCTACGTTAGTGGTGGGTCCTCACCCACACTCCCCACTGTTATTATAAAGGTGTATATTTATTTTTCGGCAGCTTTTACTTGCTGTTTTATTAGTTCAAGATAATTTAGAGGTGGGGTTTTTTATTATGTTGGTTTTGGCTGTTACAGTTTTTAGTTTTATGTAAAAAGATGTTGAATTTTATAAAACCATTGATGTAACAAAGCCAGATAACACCAGCTATTCATGTTTGGCTTGAAAGTGACAAACAAAAAAGAAAAAAAAAATCAGTAAACCTTGCCAGGCAACCTTGGCAGCTGCTTAAAAAAGGTGTTTTTTACCACCTTGAATAAAAGATGTTAGTGTATAGTTGTGTAAACAATTAACCGATAAGGCTGGCCTTATTGGTTAATCCAAATGATTACATGCCCTCTCCCCTTTGCTGACTTTGCATCAGAGGCAGTGGGGATGGGGGGATGCCAGGCGGGAGCTGATGCCTGTGTGGAGCCAGCTTTTAAATTGGCTTCCCCCTGAACACTGGATCTCTGAGAGCCCCTTGCCACACCTACCCCTGCACTATTGCTTCCAATAGAGTGGCAGTGGCTTGGAGGGTGAGGGGGGCAGATGGGAGCTGATACACTCAGGGAGCCACCATTTAAGCTGGCTTTGTGGACCTGCCTCTCTCCACCCCCATGCTGCTGCCTCCAACAGAGGCAGCAGGGGAGAGGGCAGGCAAGAGATGGTGGTCAGGTGAGAAGCCAGCTACGAGCACCGGCTTTGCAGAGCCATCTCACCCCCTCACCCCACATTGCTGTCTCTGTATCAGGTGAGATGCTGGTACAGTCTCTGTCCGCTGGGAGCTTGCGCCCCCTGTGGACAGTGGCTACTCCTGCCCCGCACTGCTGCATCTACATCGGTCAGCAGTGCAGGGCGGCAGGTGGGAGTCAGTCTGTGCAGGGAGCTCTGATTCACAGGCAGCAGCATGCAGTGGCAGGGGGCTCCGTAGGCACCCTGGGACCCATCAAATAATTGTGTATCTGCTATGATTTTGTGCAATTACACCTCTATAAAATTAAACTATATCTAACACCTCTAATTGAAATGGACTCTTAGTGGAATTTAAAGCTAATTTTAAACATATCAGATGGTGTTTTGTAATCTAGGAGTGTTTGGGTTTTTTAAACCTCATAATTACAAACTGTTTTTTATATTTATTTTAAATATTTTGCTTAATACCTCTCATATTGCTCTAATTATTTAAAATAAACAGCCTCCAATGTATGAGTAAAAAATGTAATGTCCCCCTTTTTTCTTAATGATTTTTATTAAATTGTTTATAATTAAATCATTTAAATTAGAGGAGTTTTTATTTGCCTGCAGCAGTTATTTATAATTGATTATTTACAGACCATTGGAAGTGGAGGAAGTGACACTTTATTTTTAGAATGGCTGTATAGATTTATGGAGAAAAAAACAGTGAATTTTCCTTGAATACTTTGTTTGACTAGAAAGGTTTAACTTGCACTGAGTTTTACTGTGGTAACAATGTTTTATTATTAAATTAATCAAATTTTAAAGTTTATTATTATGTGTAATATTTTTATTCTTCTAGCCTGCTTAAATTTTTAGCACTCTATGCAAAAGTTAAAAACTTTACAAATACTTTTAAAACTTTTTACTAAACAAAAATTTTAAATTGACTTTTTTTATGGCTTTGCAATTTTTTTTATTTTTTGCACATATTTTTCATTGCAGTTACTTTTGTGATTGCCCATGGGTTTTATTTTTTAAATTTTAGTGACATTTAATAGGCATTTGTAGAGCCCTGTACACAGTGGTGGCCCATCAATATAGGCGAACAAGGCGGTCACTTAGGGCGCCAAGATAAATGGCCGTTGAGGGCTTTGGAGGCAGGGGCGCCGATCGCGCGTTTTGTGCAGTTGCCAGCAGCTCATGTAGGGCCGCTCCTGCTGTGCAGATACAAAATTGCAGTTGCCAGCAACTGATGTAGGGCCGCTCCTGCTGTGCAGATACAAAATTTGTATCCACATCCGCATCTGTATCTTCAAAAATGAGCCGTGGATATTCACATTGAAATCTGCGGAATATGGATTCCTGTGGATATAAAGCAGATATCTGCAATTTTGCAGAGTATAGATACAAAATTTGTGTCTGCATCCATATCCTCAAAAATGAGCCACAGATATCTGCACCCATACCTGCAGATGTGGATATCTGCAGGTATTAAGAGGATATCTGCAGATTTGCAGGGCTATAGAGACCTTTGCTGTGCACTACCAAGAATTCTTTTATAAAGGTATTCTAAATAAGTATATTTTTGTTACTAATTTTTTTAGGACAGAATTTTATACTGTATTTTAATAGCATGCATTTTTTCTTGCATTTCTTGTCTAATACTGTTTGCTGGAGTTTATTTTCCACCCAGTTCCAGTCTCCCCCTATCACTTTCCTCTGAAGTCCATACCTACCTCCTTTAAATGTAGCCCACTCCTCCAGTGCCTGGAAATTTCCTCAAATTGAAATCCCTTCAGTGACATTGCTAAACTGCTGGGTGTTGATCCTTGACAGAAAAGCTCTACATATAATACACTGTAAGTTACCTGCTCCAGATTAATTAAATTTGGAATGTTATTCCTGGTACCACTAGGTTAGGATTTTTAAAGCTATTTTTTACTTGACTTGTTAAGAATATAGTTTGACTTTAGATTTTGTTACTTACGTATTTTTTTAGTTGGCATACAGCAAAACCATGCTAAATTCATTATGGTTTACCACAAACACGCACATACACACAACATTGTTTTGGTTTAGTTATTCCATAGGAACGAATTTTTATGAAGCTGGCTTTCTTCACACATATTCATGTATAACTTATTTTTTACCTTAAGAGTGGGTTGTACCCACAAATGCTCATGATACTGTCTATATGTTTTGTTAGTCTTTAAGGTGCTGCTAGACTGTTCATTGTTTTTTATTTTTTTCCAGTTACAGACTAACTTGGCTACCCCTCTGAAGCATATTTTATGTGTTAGGCTCATTTTGTTTATTGCAGGTGTTCAGAACCTTTTTTGGGTCAAGAAAAAAGAAAAATCACAGAAAAATCAGTCAGGGGCTGCACACAAGTCTCCCCCCTTCCCTCCCACCAAAGACAAACTCTCACTGATGTGGCCCCTAAGAAGGAGGACACGCCCCACTTCCCCTTGCACACCAGAACCTAGTGAGGCACAGACTAATAGACTTTATCCAGTCCTGCAATAGGCAGAGGCTCCCCAATGCTGTGGGGGGGAGCCATGAGCCTTGGGGGCCAGATCCAGGCAAGCTGGGGGCCACATGTAGCCCTCGGGCCTGAGGTTCCCCACTCCTGGTTTATTGTAAATTTCTCGGGAATTCTCTTTCTTGTAGTTAGTTCAAGTATTTTGTTTTTAGCTTACCCATTTTAGTCAGCTTTCAGCCTACTGATTTATTTCCCTGCCTAATCTTGTCTTCTAAGAAATGAGGATTTTCTTGTCTGTAATTACTTATATTAAGACAGACCTACAATTGTCTAAATTTTACATATAAAATTTTATACAATTAAAAACAAAATATTTGACTCACTTTGAAAGGCAGTGAAATATCTGTCCCAACATTTTGTAAAATAAATCTGATACAAGCTATCAAATGGATCGCTATATAATAAGTGTATGAAAATTACGTATATTTGTATCTTTGTAATCATGTTTCTTATTCAGTATATATAAATTGTATTTACATTTTTATTATAACATTTGTGTATGGTAAATATGTATTATGCTTCTGTATTGATACTGAACATTTCATAATCTCTGATAGTCTCATCTAGAACTTTACTTAATGTGAATACTTTGATTTGACCACAACTTTTTTATATTACTAATACCACTTAAAACAAAATTGTCATTCACAGTATTATAAACATTAACTTGATGGGTAGTATCAAATCTCAAAACAAGTAATGACATATGATTAAGATTAGAAAGAAATAATTGCAAAATGTTTAAATTATCCAGTTTATTATAAAGTAGCCAAAGAACTGTGCATCTCCATAGTTTGACTGCCCATATAAACTAGTTAAATATTTCCCTGGCTTCTGTCTTTTCTTAATGCTTTTCAAATATTAAGAGGACCAGCCAGTTCGGCTCACTGCACTCAGTCAGTCCCATTGAAAGCAGTGGAGTGAATCATATAAGTAGGGTGCAGAATTTGTCCTCAAATACATACAAAATATTGACTACTGTTCCATGTGATATATCCAACTTCAAACTAAACCTCGATTTAAGAAAACAAAATATCAAATTCATTAAGAAGTCTCTAATTTTTCTAACTGATTTAAGTGAATCCCTTGTGCTTATAATTCCATGGGACCAAGTAACCTATATCTCTGAGGTGATGTCTACACTACAGAGTTTTTGCGGAAAAACAGCTGTTTTTCCACAAAAACTCGCAGAATATCCACACCTCAAGTGCATTTTTGCGCAAGAGAATCGAAAGAACAGAAGAGGTTTTGCGCAATTGGTATTCCTCTTTCTATGAGGAAGAATGCCTTTTTGGCAAGAATTGTTGTGTGGATGGGGAAGAGAGTTTTTTTGCACAAGAAGAGGGAAGAGGAAAAAGCACAGCTGCCCTGGTGGCCATTCTGTCTGTAGCAATCACTTCTTGCTTGCAAGATAGCATTCAGTCAGTCTGGACGCTCTCTTTTGCAAAAGCGCATCGCTTTTTCGATGAGCTTTTGCAGTGTGGATGCTCTCTTGTGCAAGAAGTTTTTTCAGAAGATCTCTTCCAAAAAAAAGCTATTTGCTCAAGAAGACTGCAGTCTAGATCTAGCCTCAAAGTGTATGCTTACTTTTAAAGTAAGAATGATTACAATTTCAGTACTTGAATAATGAACTCTTCTAGATTGTTTTGGGAATAAATATTCAAGCAACTCATTGGAAATCAGAGAACATTTCAAGATTAGTTCTAATTGAATTATCCTGAATTCACCAGAATCCACATGTAAAACAAAACCAACGTATTTTTTTTAAAAAACCAAAAGGCATGAAATTATAGTTGAAGGAAAATATCTGAAGAAACGTAACAAATTAATCTGTCCAATGCACTTGATAACATTTTTAATCCCAAACTGTGCCTTCCGGGTAGTGCTTTTCTTCCTTCCGTATCTCACTAGCTTTTCTGAAGGAGAGCTAATGCTATGGTTATGAATTAAAGTGAACGCTTAACAAAGACATCTTAAAGTGCCCTTATATAACAAATGCATATACAGCCGACAAGCAGTGCCCCATCTAATATCTTGACACAAAGGTGCAACTGAAACAATGAGAGAAAAGGAACAACCCTACTTACAGCTCCAAGAACTGTTCTGTTTGGAATCCTTGTAGAATGGTGGGTGGATCTTCTCATCTCCAGGTATAGTCAGTAGAATTCGTACAAAAGGATTTTGTGAGCCAAACTCTAGGCTTCCATAACTTCCTTAATAGTGAGCCTATGTGCTAGGCCCCACTGTTCTACTGCTGCTCATTTCATTCAGCTGTGCCAACTCTGGCTATTAGCCAAGACGGGTAGGACTGGTGTCATTAGCCTCTGTGTGTCAAAGGCTGGAAATGGGTGACAGCAGAGGGATCACTTGATGGTTACCTGTTCTGTTCGCTAACCATGCTAAAGAGTTCAAACTTAATCTAAACCCTGATCCAATCCCATTGAAGTTAGTGGAAAGACTCATTAACTCCAGTGTGTTTTGGATCAGGCCCATTAAAATCAATGGGAGTTTAGTACCTAAATACCTTGGAGGATATGGGCGTTGGTGTCTAAAGACTGATACGGATCCTCTGAACCAGATGCTATTTTTGGTTTTTCAAGGTAAATATGAAGATGCTGGCTGCCCCTCAGCTGCCTTACCTTGACGGGGTGCAAGTAGCCATCCCCTCTCAGAGTGCCCAAGCCCTCCCCAGGCAACTCTTCTTCATCCTGCAGGCTACGGGTGAGGTGTGCGATATAGGTGGTGGCAAGGAGCAGCACATCCAACTTGGAGAGCTTGGTGTCAGGTGGCACAGAGGGCAGGGTCCTTTGAAGCTCCAGGAAGGCATGGCGCAGGGTCTGCACCCGGCTGCGCTCTCGGGCAGCATTTGCAGCTGCTGGTCTCCCAGCCGTTGCCCCAGCTCGTTGTCCAGCTGAAGAGGAGCAAGAATCACTGCTGGCTGCTGGGGGCAGCAGTGAGTCAGGCTCCAAATAAGAGCTGGAGATCTCCTTGCTGTTCTCAGATACATTTCTACAGTCCATTGGTGACTTTCCCGGTGGACTGAGACCTGCAATCAACAAGAGCAACTCTGAAACCATCCACCCCCTGTACCTGCAGCAGTGCTGCAAACCCATGGCGAAACTCAAAAACCTCAGCAAGACAAGGACCTTCTTCACTTGAGGTAGAAAACCTAACAGTCCCAGCCCCATATGCATGTACTCAAATGTAATATCAGCTATCTAAAATGGCAGGACGAGAACTGTGGATGACAACTTCCTTCCTCTGGCACAGTGGAACTGTACAAACCTTACTCTTCCTTTAGACGAGAGATTTCTTAGGAACCAGTTCAAGACTGTGGAAATGACTTCCACAGGATCTAAGAACTACCAAAAACCTCGGCACTTTCCATTCAACTCGAAGGTTTATTCCTTCAATCTTGTCTTTTCTAATATAAAACACATTAGATTACATTCTTGCACAATTTTCATTCTGAGGAAGGGAAGATGGAAATGAGGAAAGACCACATTTGACTCTTGCCAGTAATGGCACTTGTACTATTGGAAGATATTCAGTTGGTTGCTGTGTAAGGAATAGAATAGAATAGAAATCCTAAAAGATGTCAGCTAGAGCAAACAGCAGGTTTCCTACCTACAGAACTGTGGATCACTAGTCTAATATGCAGTGTTGTTATAGCTGCGTTGGTCCCAAGACATTAGAGAGACAAGGAGGGTGAGCATTAAATGTTATTGGACCACATTCTGTTGGTGAGAGACAAGTTGATCCCATAAAAGATATTACCTCATCTACCTTGTCTCCTTAATATCCTCGTACTGACATGGCTATGAGAACACTACATACCACTTTTTGTTTATAATTTCTGATTTCATACTTTAAAAATATGTCTCATGAAAGACCCCATTTCAAATCCATTTTCTAATCTTAATGGGCCACACACTATCTTCAATGTGGTGGTGGAGAGCCAACAGAGAGCAAGGGATTCAACTAAGGGCAGAATTTAACTCATTATTGTATAAAACCAGATGCAGGCCATGAATCCTTTCATGTCTCAAATTATTTAAGGAGCCTTAATCATCAGAGCTCTGTCCTACATTTTAAAAAATGGAAACTTTATTGCAGTTTGTATTTTTGTCTTTGTGCCAGAGGAAGATATAAAACCTTCCCTTGGAAACAACAACAAAAAACATTTGAAGAGAAGCACAGAATAGTGAAAAATTCCTTCCTAATTTTCAGAAAGGACTGTCAAATAATCCCATTCACAAAATCGAGTACAATCTCTTTAAATATAAATATAGTAACCCAAGTTTTGCTAAATTACATTACTACTATACTTGACTCCATTATCTCAGTTACAGTCCTTTTCACCAGTTCTCACACACTCTGTGAAATAATACCTCCTGAAGGACTTGTTCCTGTGGCCTTTGCTCATTCAATACTACTGAATGTATGCCAGATATTTCATGTGTGTCAAGGGATGGTTCTCCTAAGTTGGAGATCTCCTGTCATTAGTGCTCTCCTGAGTAAACAAAAGCAAATAAAGTTAATAAACCTATTAAATTCAAAGATCGTGTAATCAGGTTCTGGGGAAAAAATAAATATAATGTACAAGATGAATGGTGGTTTCTAATAGATATATATGATAAGGAATATTATTTAGGTTCTGATTCTGAAAATCATTTAAGCATATGCTGAAGTCCCATTGCAGTCATCATATTCTATGGTGGAGATGAAAATAGTGAACAAAATAAAAAAGGGCTGGAGAGGGGAATAGAGAGCGAGGAAAAGGCAGAAAAGAAAAAAAAGAAGTAGAAAGGAAAGAATGAGGTTTATGGTTCAGCTTTTTTAACAGTGTCCTCTAATTTGATGATGATGCGTGTGGGTTCAGAAGAATATATCAAATAATGTTTGAATATACTTGTTCACTTAAAAATATTCTGTAAAGAATATCACATGCTAAACAAAATTGTCTTTGTGTTGTAACTGCTTGTAATCCAGGGGAAAATCTCCCTGTTGGTGTTCATCTTTCATTGTGAAAATTAATAAAATATTAATTAGGTAAGTCATTAATTCTGATTGTAGTTCCTGTGAACTTTTCATAAGTAAAGACAGAAGAATTGATGCCTAACTTAACTCTGTTTTCTTTTAACTTAAAATTGAGTACCAGTAATTGTGTAATTTGTATCTGTCACTTTTCTGACATTTTAAAAAAATCTGTCTTGTGTGTTCAGATCAGAACATCTGACATTAATTATAAAAATCATTTTATACTATTTTTATTTCTGGTGGCACTGCAGAGTCATTCAACTCTGAGGATGGAGACAGATACATTTTTTCAGGTTCATACATAATCAGCAGAATTCCTAATTTAGGTTCCAGTCCCTATCCCTTTTCAAACAATAGGAGTCTTTCAGTTTAGTTCAGTGGGTATTGACTAGCTTATTTAGGGCCAAATAACTGGAAGATCCTAATCACATAAATATTACCCAGGCATGCGAATAGTCTCTTTAACCTGAGGAGGATGAGTCACATGAATAAAGGCTGATCTACACACTTATGTTGCTTTAATTGTATCGTTTTAGAAACAGAATGATCAGTACAACGCACTAGCATAGATAGAGTTACACTAGTATAATGGAGCTTATACCCAGATATTTTGTACCGATCGCTTATATCCAAAAACCTAGTTTCACCATCTCTCTCTCTCTCCCTCCCTCTCTCTCTCTCAGATGGCGAACAATCTGTATTGTTTTAGAAGTACCACAAAGTACACTGGATGAAATTCAGACTCTATAGGCATCAATGGCAGACATCCCATTGACTTCAATAGTGAACGTAATCAGAGAAAAATCTTTTTATTTGTATATGTTTTATATATATGATGTTACATGGGACATCAATTTGAAATATAGTCAATTTACAAAAACAAAAAACTGTTAAAAGTACTTTCAGGTACTTCACCATCCTTAAGTCTGCCTGCCCATTTTCTGTGGTTTTACAATCACATTTTCTTATTTGTAAAATATTTTTCTCCCCATTATTCCTGCATGAGTGAAACATTCAGATAGCAAGGGAATCTGAATTTCTGGTTAACTGTACAAGAAAAACAATGAAAATGAGCATGTAAAGTAAACAAATTAGAAAAATATGGAGAGAACATTTTGATAATAGATAGCAATTTTCATATGTTATTTGCAACAATAATAGTTTAAAAAAATTTCAAAACCATGATTTTTTAAAATTTATAGTGTCCCTTTGACCTCTCTGTGGTCATTTAAATGGAAATATTTTGATCCTACACAATGAAACATTAAGTACTAGTATGTGTGAATAAGATACGATATATAAATCTTTGTATCAGGTACAATGACCTTTATTATTTATTTAAAATATTTTACCCTATTTAAAATATTCAAAGCATCTTACAAAAATTTTAAGACAATATAAATATAGCATATGCAGAAAAAAGTTAACGATTAGTTACTTTTAAAATATCTTCTTTATCATAAATCTTTTAAAAGTACAAATTGTGGCTAATGTATTATCTATCGTTATACCTCAACTCTTTCCTTTCAAAATCTGTCTCTTTGCAAACTGAGGTATCCCAATTCCTCATACTTGCATTTATTTTCTGTTTAAATCAACATCTCAGACAAGGTTACTTTTGACAACTCCTTTCCTGTGGGATTTTAAAGTTTCAAATGCTAATTATTTCCTTTATTTCTGGTTCATCAAACAAAATTACATACAAATATTCTTGGCTGGACTACTGTGGTAATTTTGTTCTACCTTTGGATTTTGATTTGAACCTTTAGGGGATTTTTAAAATTGGAAAATTGTAAAGGAATGAGGAGGGATTGTATTCAATGTTAAATACTTGAGATCTTTCTCTGCATTTCCTACCTGCTCCAAACATCTGTCCAACAGTCTTACCTCTTCTAGAGAGTGTATGTTAGTCACCAAAGGATCAAATATATGCTAACTGGATATATTTGACTAAAAATTGTGCGATTTTCCTATTTATTATAATTTTAATCCATTCTAATAAATACTTTAAACTTCCATTGATTATACATCAGTGCAGTGTATGAATTAGGAAGAGTTTTACTATATGGATACTTTGGTTTTACATTGTGAACCCAGCAACTGAAAAGCTCTGCAGTAAAGTCTATTCAATTGAATGTAAAGTATTCTATTAAAAACAAAATTGTGAGTGCTATTTTTATGGGACTGATTGCATTCGTCTCAATAAATAAGCTTCCTTAATGCCATTTTCTCTTTTGAAAGACTTGGCTTTTATTTTCAGTGTGTCCAAATAAGAGAGAGAAAAAAACCTTCATAAACTTCCTTTCTGTCTGTTGGACCCACGGGATCATTTCTCTCATCCTTACACTACGCAGAAAGGGGTTGCTAGCGATTGTGCTAGTTTTTCCAATTTTCACTGGTTCTTACTGTATGTACAGCATTCTCAGTACTGAAACTTTTAACAAAATATTTTCCTCTCTCTTTATTCCAGGCTCTCCAGAAACAGAAGCGTCGACGCAATCCCGAGGATGGAAGCCCTGGATGTCTGACGGAGTTAGTGTGAACGCGATTTATTGGTAAATTAGGTCTAACTCTTCTGTGCTATTAATTGAAACGGCATGTTCTGTGTTGCACGAAATAGAACGAGTGGAAGAAACCTCGCAAAGCCAAGCCGCTCTCCAGGGCAGGGAGCTCGCAGCGCGCCGCTGAAGGTGACTTACTTTTCCAGTAGGCGCTGCCGGGCCGGAGCAGGGAGCGAGGGCTGGGGGCTTTATTGGTAAATTAGGTCTAACTCTTCTGTGCTATTAATTGAAACGGCATGTTCTGTGTTGCACGAAATAGAACGAGTGGAAGAAACCTCGCAAAGCCAAGCCGCTCTCCAGGGCAGGGAGCTCGCAGCGCGCCGCTGAAGGTGACTTACTTTTCCAGTAGGCGCTGCCGGGCCGGAGCAGGGAGCGAGGGCTGGGGGCGCAGGTGCGGAGCGTGCAGCCTTCCAGCGCCTCTAGCCACATGGCCCCGCAGACTCCGGCTAGCAGCTGCCGGCAGAGCCTTTTATAAGGCGCGGGGCGGTCCGTGTGGGGTTCACCTGGACGCCACACAGCGGCCGCCCGCGGGACCTGAGGGCCATCAGTCAAGCTGCTGTCCCGCGGCAAGGGAGTGGGGGTGGGGCCACACCCTTCTCCCGGGGACACCCGCCCGGGGGCAGAGAGGGCAGGGGACAGTTCCCCTCCTCCCCTCAGGTCAGTGAACAGAAAGGGGCTCCTAGCCTGGGCCCCTGGGCCAAGGGAGTGCGGCGCTGCTGTGCTTCAATGGGGGCGGGAGCTGCAATGGCGAGGGGGGAGGGGCCGGGGTGCCATCCCGGGCTACTGCGAGCAAACGGGTCCTTCGGATCCCTGACTCCGTGGAGGGCGCGGCTCAGAGCAGCCCGCTGGCTGGGCAGAGTCTCCAGCGTTGCCCCACTGGGAGCCTGCCCCGCCGGGCACCGGCACAGCGTGCAAATGGAACCAGCCTGGCACTAAGCAGAATGGGCCCGGGCATAACGGGATCATGGCTCCCAGCCCCTCCTAGCCAGGCTAATATAAAACAAGCCAAATAATGAACTAGCCTGGTCTCCTCTGTTGCAGGCCATCGCGCGGCCGAGGTGCAGAGCAGTTTAAGCCCGTTAGGCAGGGGCGTGTCTCGGGGAGCCTAGCCATCAAAACGCAGCTTGAAAGGAACGAAACCAAGAGGAAATATTATTGCAAAGCAGGGCGCTTGAGGGGCTTCAGTCCAAATTTTGAAATCCATCTGAATGAAATTCTGCTTGGAACGGGGGGAGGGGGAGAGGGAAACCGACTCCCTTGTTCTTGGAACTGCGATTTGTCCGGGTTTTAGCACCGCTACATCCTACTAACAGCACTGGGTGATTTCGGGGTTAGCTGTGTGAGTTCACATCTTGTCATTAGAGCACCCTGACCGATCATTTCCTGTGCAGATTTAGTTTCTATTGTCGTTATTGCGCCTTTCTCTAAACCTGGCAGTTATTAACCAGGGCTGAGAACATGATGCCTCTGCAAGATTGTATTTGAACGAAAAGTTTGTCATGAGCTTTCCAGCATGAATGTAGAGTTGGCACCCCCAGTTAAAAACTACGGATGGCTAAATCTGAGCAGGAGACATGAAGCACAGCGCGAATGGATGCTCTCAACAAAACCGTAACAAAAATTTAATCTCATGCAAGGAAAAGGAAATAGTTTAGAGACCAATGAATTAATCATCTTTCTATTGAAAGTCTGGCCCTGAGAGTCTCTGTGCGAATGAAAGGAATGACTATAGTCTCTAGGTGCAACTGCTGAAATTGTTCTTTATAAATATTGTTTTTGTTAGGGTAAAGTAACAGTTTTGCTGGAGGGGAGTAATTTAAACGTTGGGCTTGGAGGTTAAACAATCTTTTAATAAGTTCTTTCTTTTTTTTTCACTCCCTCGCTGTTTCTTTTTATAATTTGGTCGATGTGACCCTTGCATTTCCAAGGAGAGGAAAAGTCATAGCTCTCTATCTTTCTTAATAAGCTTTCTTTCCCCTTTCATATTAATATTATAAACCCAAAGGAAACAGGGCCATGACTCTTCAGAATACTCAGTATACGAAGAAAAAAATCGTAGAATTAAAATTGCGAAAGAAAGAAAGAAAGAAAGAAAGAAAGAAAGAAAGAAAGAAGTTTGCCTTGAGAGTGGAACAGAATATTTGATTTGAAACATTAATAGCTAGTAATTAAAATGTTAGTAACCTTAATGAGAAGCGACATTCAAAATAAATATGCAGGGTATAGTATTATCCCAGAACAACATTTTGAATGAAGTTTGATTGTGTGATAACATAGACACAATAAATCAAATCTTAGACCCATTAGAAAAATAGTCTGACCGATTTGTTACCGCTTTAGAAGCCAAAAAAAATTAGGACCTTAATCTTTGGCTATAATTTGAAATATTTGGAAGGGAGTGGAGAGAGAAGGACGATTTAGAGGACTCGGTGCACAGGATGTATTGGGAAAATGTCTAACTTAAAAGTTCCAGTATTTGCTCCTGCAGTATTTATGAGAACCCAAATTCCTAACCCACAAAAGCAGGTGGAGATAACCGTTTGCAACAACAGATTATATGTAGATGGTGCTCTTTAAAGAGAAAGGAAAAGATACCGTAATAGAACTCCTTCAGAATGAGCTAGACGTTACATTAACCGGCTGAGAGACGGAGACCTGCAGGATGCAGAAAATCTATCAATCCGTATTCCAGATCTGCTTTTCAAGAACAAAGGCGAGATATAGGATGGCAGCTGTCGGTTAGCAAATGCTCCTGCCACCATTCTGCAACTAGATTGTTTTACATTGATCTGAAAATAGTTAAAGTACTTAGCACTCAGGTATTAAGATTTTACTTCCATCAGACTCTCACTAGAGTCATTGACCAATTATTTAAAATATTCTTTTTACTGATTATCCAAAGAGATTATTTCAAGAAGTTTAAAACAGACCTGTTTAACCTGTTTATATTGGTTTATATTGCTATTATATAAAAATAATAAAACATATGACGTTCTGTATGTGCTACAAAATATAATTTGAACCAGCAAATTCATTACTAGTAGTATTCACTGATCTAAGTGATGAAGAGAAAACTGATAAAAAAAATCTTCTGTACAATAGCACAGAACAAGTCTGGTGTTTAGATCTGTTTCATAATACCGTTAATTGTTATTTTTCCCTTTCATCAATGTCCATTAGTTAAAATGGCTAGTCTATTTTAATGTTATTGCTGACGTAGTCCATTTTAATCAAGTTATTAAAGAAAGAATGGTCCAAAAATAGTCCTAACAATGTACTATAAATATATATGACGCTAAAAGATAATTATTTACATTCTTTTTTGCCCTAGATGCTCCAGGTTGAGCCATACTTTGTGAAGGAAACGCCTAATATTGAGTGGTTAGTAGTCATTACTTCATTATGATTCTATTTAAATTAAGCAAATACAATCTATATATTTGAAGTGGTTCACTAGGAAGAGAGATGAGGGCACCTCTCTTTCCAGCATTTGTGATATTTTTGTGTATGCTGGACTACAGTCTCAGCTGCTGTTAATAGTCAATAACGCCATTTACTTCAGAGCTGTTGCGATTTATACTAGCTAGCCTTAGATTGTATATAGTCTGTTCAACCACGGGTAAATATCATAATTCTCTGCACCTTCTCCTGGCTAGTCAGTGATCACCGCTAGTCCCTCTTAGAGCAAATCTGAAATATTAAATAGTAACCTTTTCTAGGCTGTTGCAAGGAAAACAAGCCTGGGTTGAGTTTAACCACTCAGTATAGTACAGAGCCTGTATTTATTATTGTGTAGGTCAGTGAATCTCTATGTTGGCGTTTTAGTTTTTGTAGAGGGAGTTTACATTTGTCGAAAATTGTCTCGTAGCCGTCCGCAGTACCATTACTGAAAGTTAGTCTTCACACTTGACCAACACACCCCTAAAATGGCTTTTAAAACCCCTCCCCTGCCCTTAAAAATCCCTCATCCCTTCCATGAGAGACTGTAGCCCGCGGTCATCCCAACCCTCAGCCTGCTGCCGAGCCAAGCAGCATCCAGCGAAGCACCCCGCTTCCTGGGTTCCCGGGCCCTGGAAAGGGGACTCCGTGCCTGCTCCCTTGTGAACTGAGATGGTGGAGAAAAACGTTATTCACCGATGTTTGTTTTGGATAAAATGTTGCAAATTTTGCCTGGATTCGTGGCCACTCTACCTGCAGCTGGACTGACTCCGGGGTTGGAGGGAATCAGCCAGGGGAGGAACAAGCGAGGCCACCAGCCCGAAAGGGATCTGCAGAAGGACAAGCCTCCCTAACACCGAAAGAGGCTTCCAGCCCTAGCAGGGAGGAGGCGCTTTGCCCGCGCAATGGGTCAAACAGGCGGATCACCTAGAAGTGTTTACAGGGGTCCCCAGAGCTGGCTCCAATGGAACCAGCCCGACGCGATGCCTGCTAAAGACACTCTAGCCTCCCGGGGCCACTGTCACGGCAGCCCGAGGCGGCTGGGTGCAGGTTTTAAAATCTACTACCTTGGTGTCCCTTGCCACCTTCCAATCAGGTGCTGGGAAGGAAACCTGCCACTGCTGCTGGGGAAACGTGTCAGTCACTGTTCATTGCCGCACCGACATGCCAGTAGGGGGCGCATCAGTCCCTGGCTGGAAAGCAGTAACACACCCCGGCCTTTGCAGGAGTTTCTCTGGAAAGCAGCGCGGGCCTGGTTCTGGAGCAGGTGAATACAGCGGCTTTGTCCTGCTTAGGCTTTCTTCAGGCATGAGAACTCTTAATTTGTAATGGCAGACCTGGCTCAATGCATACCTCTGGTCAGCTCAGGGTTTAGATTTAAGGCAATTTCAGCCTTCCTTTTGAAGGGCAGGTAAATCATGCCTCTCTACAACTTTCCAGGGTTTCATTTAAATGAGAAAATGCTATGTTTAATCTGGAGCCTCAATTACACTGTGGTTTTGGTAAGAAAAGGACTAACAGAAATAGTGTTTCTAGCAATGGCAGCCACCCTAAAATATATCTGCTCAATGTAAAGAATAGTCTTCTGGTTTTGCAAGTAGCATGATGTTTCTGAAATACAAGCAGCATTCTTTCTGCTTTGTTTGTGGTCCCTAACAGCCAATTATGGGAATAGGATTTAGCTAGTAAATTTGTCCATTGATGAGGTAATACAGTAGCAATACCACTTCCACTCTGCTGACTACAGCAAAAGCTATTTTATTAAAATAAGCAGATATGTCTCAAAGGGGACTTAAAATCATATACTGACTTTGATCCATGCACAAATATCCTACTCATAGTAACTAAAGTTCCATAGCAAATCCAACTCAGAACAGGGCCTACAGGGATCAGGTAAGTTCAGTAATGTGAAAATCAGAGCAGGTCAAAATCTGGAATTTCCATATATTTTGTTTCAAAACAGTCTTTATATGATTTTTTTTACTTTAGTTCATGATGTACTGGTACAGAAGATGGTATCTCATATCAAGTCATGTCATAATATAAATAGTTGAAAATGTTGTATTGCATTTTTATTACAAAAATCATTCAGGGGGATTTCTACTTATTCCAGATTAAAACATTTTATCTTTTAGATTTTGTTCAATATTCTGTTTGGTTTGTAATGAAATAGTTTGACACTGACACTTCCAAAAAGAAAACAAGGTAGGCACTCAGTGTACTACTTGGCAAAGCATCTGTTTTCAATATCCTAGAAAAATTACACCAGTCTAACACAAGGATAGTGAAAACATCTGGTCCTCTAATTAGTAGATGATTGCTGTGTCATTATATAATGAAAAATACAGATGTGTGAAAAATATATTTATAGATTAAAAATTTGCATTGAAATTAAATATATTTTTTTCAGATTTTTCTAAATTAATGTTTTAAATGTAATATTTTAATGGAAGCTTTCTGCTAATTCAATATGATTTTGCAAAAACATTAGTCTGTAAACCGGCTTTTCCAGCAGAAAACAGTTATGATTGTTTTCTGACCAGCAGTAGTGAAGCTAAACATTTTTTTTAAACACCATAACCACCTCTCTCTCTTAAAAAGGTAAGATTCACATTTTCTATTTTCCAACCTCATCTTAATTGAAGGGAGTTTTATCAGCAATCTGGATTTTTCTACCCTCAAATATGAGGACATACATGCAGTCATCCTGAAATAAAAGTGTTAAATTAATTAACTTTAGAAAACCACACAACAGTTTAGTTATTAGAAGATGATTCACAAATAGGTTGGCAAATTCAATATTAATTTTTCCCACTTTATCACATCTGTGAAATAACAGCCAAAAAAACAAGCAAAACCCAAAACTTAACATTTTGTTTATTTATTTTTACAGAATATCACATTTCAAAAAGTATCTAAAATGTGTATGAGGAAGGCATTGCATCAAAAGCTGTTTTTGTTGTCTGTGTTGCAGAAGCAGAATATTAAGGTTTCTTGAAAGATCTGAAGAGTGGCAGACACCCCTCTGTATTTTTTTGTATCATCCACATACCCTGTTTTTCTGTAAGATGAGTCAATTTATTTCTAAATTATACTGTACATTTGTATTCAAATACCCATTAATAATATTTAGATTTTAATGTGAGAAAAATTGTATAATTGGTAGTCCTAGCATTTCTTTCATATAAATGAAACTGTATTACCCAACTGAAAGCCTTTTATTTCAGAAAATGTTACCATAAAATAGATATAAATTAATGCATACACATGTATTATGCAAAATAGTGGTGACTGATGTCACAATTTCTTTTGTGAGCATAAAAGGAAAATCTTGTAAAAATGTTCTTTTTGAATAAAGCATTGGGCTCTTACTTGTATCATTTCATACCAGGTTCTGATATACCCCAATTATAGTGTAGCAATAATTCTGCTGGGAATTAAGTGAACAGAAAGATGCAGTTGTCTTTTCAGTCTCTGGTTACAGTGGTATCTGACTGAGGAGATGAGGTTCCAATAGATCGTTTTTTGGTTGTGAACTTTGAGCATCTTTCAAGGTCAGGTGACTGCTACCAAAATAAAAACATACTGTTAAACAAAATCACACTTTTTTCTCATAAAGTCAGTTGTATTGGTCACAATTATAATGCTTTGACAATTACCATTCATTGTCTCTGAATCTCTCATACTCTTTTTCTCTCTTATGTATCAATCCTGCAGAAAAATGTTCTCTAACTCTGAGTTAAGCTTGCTAGACTGAAGATCTTAGAAAGGAAGGAAATAAATAGTTACATCGTTCAAAACCTATTCTGCAATTCACAGTTCCCTTTTTGAAACACAGACTACTTCCTTTGTAATACTGACAGCTCACACATATGCACCATCATCCTGAAAAACCAATAAGCACTCACGAATTTTGACCACATTTATTAGTTACTTTATCATGTGTTACAGGATTAGTGTAAGTTTTGTGCATAGCTTTATATCCATGTATGTAAGTGAGATATGGTATCTGATTAAAAATAGCAGCAAGATGTGTTTTCAGAAATGTTTAAGAAAACTCATATAGATGAATTTTATTAGTGAGTGATTTAAATTTTGCGTTGATTTTTTATGAAGAGATTAGAGAACTGAATTTTGTACATACACGTACATGCTGGTATGTTGTATAGATGGTCTAAGCCAGTGGTCCCTAATGCGGTGCCCGCAGGCGCCATGGCGCCCCCTGAGGCATTTATGTGCGCCTGCCGCATGATCTGGGCCAGCCCCGCCCCCGGCACGTGGCACATGCACAGTGCCGACCCTGGTCGCATGGTGCATGGGTGGCCCCTACCCCGGGCGCGCAGCACATACGTGGCACTGGCCCCGGGTGCGCGGTGGATAGGCGGCCCCACCCCCGGGTGCCTGGCAGTCCCAAAAGGTTGGGGAGTACTGGTCTAAGCAGTGACAATGGTCTGTGCAGACAGGTAACTTGCCTGGTGCTACTGCCTGGTGGCCCTTCAAGAACCAATGCCTTTGCGCAGAGCCCTTAAACTACCTATGGCACTGGTACCTCAACTCCTGGGTGAACCAGGGCACCAGCACTGAAATGCTGTCTCAGCACGGACATTAGCTCCCCTGCTACATCAGAAAGTTGAAGCAGCACTGTAACCAAAGATCAGAGCTTGAAGAACAACACAGAGTGCTCAGAAGCTAAGGCGGTATTTTAAATTAATGTTATAAAAAGGGATTTATAATGCATATGAACTCAGAGCACTTTCCAGGTATATAATTCTTACTCATTGTTAAAATAAATGTATATTACATTCTAGAAAAAAAGCCATGGAATTAACTGAAATATGCATTCAGCTGGACCAAATTCCACCTTATATACATCATGCATTTACTTCCAAAATATTTGGTAATGGACATGTCCAATTACATTCACTGGAAACACTTTAGAAAAAAGCAATTAGTTACATACCATACACCAGTGGTCTCCAAACTTTTTAAGCACAAGATCACTTTTTGAATGTAAATTCAATGCAGGTTCTATCTCAACCCAAATACCCTTACCCCACCTCTTTTGTACCTCTTCTCTGAGGCCCCGCCCCTGCTCTCTCTGTCCTCCCTCCTTCCCCCATCTTCCCTTCCTTTCACCAGGCAGGGGCAGAGGGTTGGGTCATAGGCTCTGGTCTTGGGATAAGGGATTTGGAGTGTGAGAGGGTCTCTGAGCTGAGCCTGGAGCAGGGGGTTGAGGTACAGGAGGAGGTTCGGAGTACAAGCTCTGTAAGGATATGTCTACACTTGCATCCTAGTTCGAACTAGAGATGCAAATGTAGGCATTCGTAATAGTCAATGACGCGTTAGTTCGAACCAAGGGGTTTGGTTTGAACTAACGCGTCCCGGCGCACACTTTTACTTTCGAAACAGCTGTTGATCGGAGTAACGCGCTGGCGAGATCATGCTAATGAAGCACGAGATATTTAAATCCCCGCTTCATTGACTATTTCAAATGCCTATATTTGCATCCCTAGTTTGAAGTAGGGTGCAAGTGTAGACATACCCTAAGGGAGTTTAGGTCCAGGGGGCTCATGGCTAGGGCAGGCACTTGGAGTGCAGGAGGGGGTTCAAGACTGGGGCAGAGGTTCAGAGCTGGCTCCAGCTGGGCACTGCTTACCTCAGGTGGCTCCTGGGTGGGGGTGCAGTGGAGCTAAGGCAGACTCACCCCTCTTCTGGCCCTGCAGCACTCTCAAAAGCAGCCAACAAACCTCCCTCCATCCCAAGCCATGTTGTGACCCCCTCCATTCCGTGGAGACAGAATACAGGATGGGAAAGGAGACACCCTGACATCAGTGTCCCTCCTCTTCCTTCCCTGTTCTGCATAGCAAGTGGAAGGCTTGGGTGGGGAGGGGTGGAAGCTCTAAGACAGTGGTCTCCAACCTTTTTACACCCAAGATCACTTTTTAAATGTCCCTCCCCAAGACCCCACCCCTTCCTTGAGGCCCCATCCTCTCTGTTCCCCTTCTCTCCATCACTTGCTATCCCCAGCCCTTATACACTCTCAGGGTAAGGCTAACCTGCCACTTTTTTTTAATCCTTCTGTTGGAAGAGATTTTTCTGACATTTGGCCTGTCTAGACTGGGCCAAATGTTGGAAAAAATCCTTCTTTTGGAAGCCCCCTTATTCCTTGTGGAACGAGGAATACAGGGGCCGCCAAAAGAGAGTGTTTGCCAGAAAAACTCCAGTCTAGTCGTACCCTCATTTGGTTGAGACGAGGTGTGTGCTCTGGGGTGAGAATGAGGGATCTGGGTGTGGGAAAGGATGAGAGGTGCGAACTCTGGGAGGGAATTTGGATGCAGGAGGATGTGGAGAAGGGGATGCTGGCTCAGGGCGGGGGCTCCAGGCCGGGGAGTGTTGGGCTCAGGTGGAGAGCAGGAGTTTGGGTTGGGATGTGTGAGGGGCTCCGGGCAAGGAGGTTGGGAGTATGATGGGCTCAGGACCGATTTGCAGTGTGTGAATGGTGCAAGCGTGTTGTGGCAGAAGACTGAGGATGTGGGGGTGCAGGAATTTGGGGATGAGAGAGGCTCAGGACAGGGGGTTCCAGTGTATGATAGGCTCAGATTTGGGGTCGGAGTTGGGGGTACAGGAGTGTTATGATGCTGTGGCCAGATGAGGGCTTGACCCCAATTGGGGGCTTGTTGGCCAGGCTTAATTTCTAAATAAAATATTATGTCAAACCCAAAAGGTTTCAGCAGTGCCTTTATTTATGAGAGAGGTGGGGAACCAGTTTTGAGTCATGGGTCACTGACCCACAGAAAAGTCAGTCTGGGCCACACAATTGAGATACAAAAACACACCCCCTCCAAACCACTCAAGCCTCACTAATGTGGCCCCAACTGTGCTAGTAGGGGCAGAGGACAGGGTGCTCTGGCAGGGGACAGAATGCTGGGACGGGATAGGGTGCTGGGGAAGGGGACTGGGTGCCGGGGCAGTGGACAGGTGCTGGTGGGTGCGGGGGCAGGGTGCCAATGGGTGTTGGTGGGTGCTGGGGAAAGGGACAGGGTACTTGTGGGGTTCTGGGTGGGGGGAAGGGGACAGGGACCGGTACCTGGGGATCCTGCAGCTGCACGCTAAGGCCCAGGAAGTGCACGGGCTGCTCCCCCGCCCTTCAAACAGTGGTGCGGTACCTGAAAAGCTGGTCCGACACGTGCCTGCTGTCTTTCTGCACAAGGAAAAGGAGGAGTGGGGGGAGGAGGAGTCCTGGACCGCGCCAGCTCCAACTGCTCGGGCAGCGCGCGCATTGCTCCTCCACTCCCCACAGAAGCGCACGCTGCCTGAGAAGTTGGAGCTGGCACAGTCCCGGACTCCCACTCCCTCCCCCACTCCTTCCTCCGTGCACAGGAAGGCAGCAGGGGAACAAAGTCCCCAGCGCACAACAGACCAACTTTTTAGGTACCGCCCTGGCTGTTTGGGGGGAGGGGGGAAGAGCAGCCAATGCACTTCCGGGACCTGGTGCACAGCTGCAGAACTCCCCCCACCCCGCAGGAAGCCCACACTACCTCCGTTGTCCCTGGAAGTAGCACGAGCACGGTGTTCATCTTGGGGGTGGGGAGGCTGTGAGGGGGTCCCCCTAAAGCCTTGCGATCGACTGGTTGAGCCTCCAGGGTGCAATTGACGGTGACCATGGATCTAAGACACAGGGCAGGAGATGTACAGCAGTGGGGAGAGGGGCAGTTGAAGTGCTGGCACTTGATAGCCTCCTGGCCAAACCAGTCAGGATCACCTGTCAGAGGCTTCAAGGTCTACCAGTAGGTCCTGAGCTACTGGTTGGTGACCACTGTCATACAGTAACTATGGTTCTTTAAGATGTTTTGTGCATGTCGATCATACTTTAGATATCCATGAACAAAATCAGAATCTCTGAATAGCAGTGTCTTTTAGGACATGTCTGCATCTTGAACAACTTTACTTCTTCCCAACCAATGGCATAAAGGCAGAGCACCCACAATAGCACAGTTCCCTCACTAATTCAGAATCTCAGTATAAGGAAAACTCAGGGTATGTCTACACTACCCTCCTAGTTCGAACTAGGAGGGTAATGTATGCATACCGCACTTGCTAATGAAGCCCGGGATTTGAATTTCCCGGGCTTCATTAGCATAACTTTACTTCTTCCCAACCAATGGCATAAAGGCAGAGCACCCACAATAGCACAGTTCCCTCACTAATTCAGAATCTCAGTATAAGGAAAACTCAGGGTATGTCTACACTACCCTCCTAGTTCGAACTAGGAGGGTAATGTATGCATACCGCACTTGCTAATGAAGCCCGGGATTTGAATTTCCCGGGCTTCATTAGCATAAGCGGGGAGCCTAATTTTTAACAGTCAAATAACAAAACAAAACATTGCAAAGTGCAAACGTGTAAAAGCTAACAAAAAAGGGGGAGGGGGCGGCCAAACATTTTTTTGCTTGGGGCAGCAAAAAATCTAGAGCCAGCCCTGGCAGAGAGGTCAAGGATCTTTAAAAAAAAAACTCCATGTTTTTTGCCGCATCTGGAAAATGGTGTTGCATAGCAACTCCAGACATTTTGTTCTGCTCTCCTCAGTGAGAAGTGGACTGGCTGTTTTCCTAATCCTTTGTGGTTTAAGTTTGAAGTTAATCTGTATGGGTATGTCTACACTACCCCGCTAGTTCGAACTAGCGGGGTAGTGTAGACATACCCTCAGAAAAAAATCAGGGATGGAAGATACACTCAGAACCCAGAGAACTTTAAGTGCAGG